ACCTCGCACCCCAAACGCCCAGCAAGCAAGCAAGCAAGCAAGCAAGAGAGAGAGAGAGAGAGAGAGAGAGAGAGAGAGAGTAAGTGTGCTCCAAGAGAGGAGAGCGAGATGGGTGAATCCCAGAGGAGGAGATGGAGGAGGTGAGCTGCCAGCTCAAGGCCGGCTGCGGGAAGCTGCCGCTGCGCGGCTCTCTGCCGTGGCAGCGGCCCTGCAGGTGCAGTGCGACCGCGTGCAGCGCGTGGAGAGGGAGCTGGCTCTGTCCCGCGACGTCAGCTCGGGCCTTCGTGGCTTGGAGCGCTTGGTGCCCATGATTTGCCAGTGTGTTCAGGCGAGAAAGTCAGCAATTTGAGACAGATGCTACAAGAGTCGCACGGCCAGTGCCGCAGAACTACGCTCTTCAAGTCACTCTAGTCGCATTTCTTCCACTTCTTTGGTTAACAAAGGTGGCATAGCCCGTCTCTGTCGCCTTATTGACGAGGAGAGCAGTACATGATTTCATATATGCAGCACTGTGCGGCACAAGCCCACAGGAAGCAAGACGAGCCCGTTGGACTGCTGTGCGACCGTGATTCGGCAGGAGAGGCAAAAGCGCGAGCAATACGTGCAAGGCCTGAAGCAGCAGAGGCCAGTTCTCAAGTCGCTTCCGCATAAAGTGGCACAAAGCACCATTTCTTCCTTGAGATATCGTGAGATGCAGGTTGCGCACCGAGCTGCTCCTGCAGCTCTTGTGCCTGGGCGCAAGGGTTATGCTTGTGGTGTGGCGATGTAGTCTGTAGCAGCAGCTCGTGGCAGTGCCCTCGAGCTTTTGCGGACTCTTGCGAACTGAAGGCAGCACTTCAAGAATCGAACCCAGGACTTGGAACTCACCTCAGACTCGCCACGACGCCGCTTCCATGCCCGTGAGAACCCTGTGCCTGGCAGGGGCCCGACACGATCTTGGCCGGGGTCGGTTTGGCCGGCCGGAGGCCAAGCTCGAAGAACACAGATATCCCAACAGACAAACGCTGATGCAGGGTTCCACAACATCTTTATGATCAAGGAATCTATGCAAAGATAAATTAACGACTGCAGAACAAGAAGCACAGTAACGACGTGCTGCACGTTCCTGCCTGCGCCGCTTCGCGGCTTCCTGGCTCGTTTGCTTCTTGGCTTCCTGGGCTCGCGGCTTGGTGGCTCCCAGAAGACTTCGCTGCAAAGCAAGGAAGCATATGTGCTTGTAATGTTTGGCCTTCACAGGGGCTTCCGGATTGACGGGGTGGGCGGGGGGAGCTTCTGTTTATCTCCTGACGAGGCCCGTGTGGCTCTGGCTCCAGCGAGCCCAGGCTCAGCTGCAGTGCGGCTGCAGCATCTCAGAAGAGCGAGATGGAACTCTGGGCCCTGCTCCAGGATGCAGCCACACCAAGCAAAGCCCGCAAAGCCCGGGAAGCCGTGAAGGGACGGAAAAAGAGGAGCTTTGCAAGATTGGAGATGCCTTTATCCTGCACCGAGCGTCCGTGTGGGCGTTGACGGTTGTCTGCCCGAAGCGATGCAGAGGCACACACTGAAAGGCTTGCAGCACATCCATGCGCGCGGTGTCATCCACACGGATGCTACTTGTCTTCTGTTAGAGTGCGCAGAAGTGTCAAGACGGAAGCAGCAATCTGCAAGGTGAAGCTCGAGAATGTCGTGGGCCAAGATCCTCTGCTACGGTGATCCGACGCGTCAGGCACCAGAATTCGGAAAGGAGTTGGAAGTCCAGTCGCAAGGTTCTCATATGCCGCCACGACATGTCGGTGCTCTTGCAAGAGGTTCAGCGTGCCGGGGGCGGGGCAACTCCGTGTGTCCGCTTGTGCCGGGGAGCGGGGCTCCGACCACAATACTTGCCAAATTTTCAAAGCTTGGGGCTGGGGCGGCGAGGGCCTATAGGTTGGGGGGCATGTGCTTTCTCTCGAGGCATCCAGGGCTCATCGAGCCTTCCAGGAGCAGAAGTCTGGCCTGGAGACTCTCTCGAAAAGCTAAGACCTCAAGTCCTCAGGGCCCCAGTGAGGCCACACCGCAAGCCTGGTCCCTCAAAGGCCAGAAGAAGCGGTTGAAGAAAAAGCAGAAAGCCAAGGACTGCTTAGTGACGTAGCCTGGTTCTCTGGTGCGGGCTCAGCACTGAAGTTGCACTGCCCGTGCAGAGGACGCAAACATCGCTGGCTCCGAAGACCCCAAGACAGAGGCTGCGGCAGAGGAGGCGGGAAGTCCAAAGAGTCAGCAGGCTCTCTGATGAATGCCGATCCAGCACAGCAACATTGACTGACGAGGGCTTTGCATGTCATGTAACCTTCTGTTCCTAGTGGTCCCCTAGAGCAAGAGATTCTGGCGACCTTAGAGGAAGTTTGGGTTCATGCATCCGACAGGTTGAGGCGGAGGTGACCGAGGTTCAACCGCAGGCAGAGGCCGAAGTTCCGTCGCAAGCGAAGCTTGCTGAGCCGCATGGTTTCAGGTGGTGAACGGCGTGAACAGCGTGAACGGCAAGGGCAAGGGCGACGGATATCCGAAGCCGGAAGGCAGTTCCACTTGTCCACGGTGTTCGCAACCAGCCGTTCTCTGCAGGGGAGGTGCCAGCAGCCGGCAATGCTCCGGGTGAAGCACCTCCAGGGCAGTCGGGCTCCCGGGTGCCCGAGCTACGACATGGCTACTCGTGGCCACACCCAAAACTCTGTAGGCCCATACCTCCAATCAGACAAAGAGATCGTTTCGAGAACCTTCAGCTTGAAGAGGTGCGACCTGTCAGCATCCTCCGAAGCACTCATGCACTCAACCGGTGCACGGCTGCAGACCTTCGCGAAGTTGGCGGATTTTGGGAACGGTATCAAGGCCTCTAAGGGCCTACATCATGTGCCCAAGAGCCGCGAAAATCGTAACATGTCGCCAAACGTGGGACGCCAACCCCTGCGTGCTTCCTGTGTCGCCTCTCGGCTCAGCTTAGAAGTCGCCATAGAGAGCCACCCTTCTTCCGCCTCCTGCAGCCGCTTGTAACCAGGAGCTGGAAGGGGACAGCGGGGAGATTGTATATTATATTATACTATATTATATTATGTTATATATTATGTTATATATTATGTTATATCTTATATAATCTTATATTTTATTTTACTATACTGTATGAAAAATTAGGCCTTGGCTCTGACAGTGCTGACCGCTGAGGAGCAAAATGGAGCTGGCCATGGCTCCCACGGAGGCCAGGCTACCGCTTCTCTCTGTCTCTCTTGGGTAAGATCTGCTGAGACCACGGAGTGGAAGGGGGGAGGGGGGGTGCGCCTTTTCTTTTTTGGCACGTCCCTTTCCTGGCCTTTCCTGTGAGGTGTCGAAGGGCTTCGAGAGCGCGATGCCCATGCACGTGCAAGTTGGAAGCCTTGGCCAAGTACCCCCCGTGCCCGTGACCGAGAGCTCCCAAAGCGAGGGCCCCCCGTGGGCGCCTGCGGCCGGTTCCCAGGTCGATGCAGCCGCTCCCGCAACAGCAACTGCGCACCCGGCGTATTGGAACGTTCACTCACTCGAAGCTTGATGTCTGTATGGGCTGCATCAGTTCCAGGATTGTAGGACAACTGAGACGTGCATGCGTGTTCGAAGTTCGACTCGACGGCAGTCTATTCCAGGGTGTCTTGAGGCGTCTTTAGTCCAGAGCCCTTCCATCTTGACCGAAACAGGCAACAGCAGCTGCAGCAGCAGCTCCTGAACCAGAAGAACCAGCAAACTATCCAGCAACATGCCTGCAGTATGGCACGCGATGAGCGATGAGAGTGAAGGCAGGTTTTGTCACCCAAGGACGCTGCTGCTACAGCAGTCCCTTGGAGCACAGTCCCAGCAGCTGCCACAAGCTTCTCAGCCTCAGCAGGCCCGTCCTCTTGCTGCTCTGTAGTGACAAAGGCCGCATCCATTTCTCCGCCCTAACTACCCTAAACCCTAAACCCTAAACCCTAAACTTAAACCCTAAACCCTAAACCCCAAACTGTACCCCAAACTGTACCCCAGACCCTAAACCCGAAACCCTTAACCCACCTGCTCGAGCACGAAGCTTCGTGGCTTTGGTCGCCTCCAGAGAGGCTCCCTTGCCCAATCTCCTCACGGGCCGGATGATGGACCCTGCCTTGGCCATGAAGGCTGGGCTAGCTCCAGAACAGAACATTCATGCAGCAGTGTTCATGATGGCGTGTATCGTATATATATATATACATACATGTACATGTACATGT